CAGCCCCCGTCCCACCCTCACATCCCCAAAGGGGCTTTGCCACCCTCGTGCCACCACCCGGGAGGCAGGATCCGCCCGCGTTTCACCCCGAGACGACGATTATTCCTTAATTGCCAACAAAACAAACGAATAAAGCCCTGGCTGGCTCTTGCTGAGCTGGAAGGAAACGGCCTGGGTGCCATTCCCAGCGCTGGGTTCGCTGCCGGCGGCTCTCTGGGATAATCGTTTGGTGATGGATGTTAACGAGCAGCTCAGCCAGTCCGGCCGGAGCGCGTCAGCTCTTTTTAATGGGCCGATGTTTTCTCCGGAGCTGGCAGCAGCCTGTCCCTCCTGGCCCGTGGATGTCCCAGCTCATTGCCAGGCCACCGGCTCGTCCCCCAAGGACCTGCAGTGCCCTGTCCATCCCATCAGCTCCATGGCACATCCTGCCCCACCACCCAGAGGTGTTGTGGCCCGTGGGGTCCCCCAAACCCGAGGGGTGCTCAGCCCCAAGTCAGCCCTTCCTCCTGCTGGATCCCCCCAGCTGGATGGACCCTGACCCCTAACGCTATTTGGCCCTTCTCAGAATCTTGGGAAACCCTTCCCGATCCAGCTTTGCTGCTGACAGCATCAAAGGGATTTTGCAATTGGAGGCAGCTGCCTGATTTTATCAAGTTCCTTGGAAAAATCACTTTCCAGCAGGGCTCCCCTCCTCCTGTGCCCCAGTTCAGAGACTCGTGGGGAGTAACCAGGAGCAGCTTTTAATCCCGATGGAGATGCCTGGTGGAGTCATGGGATGACACAGGCGGAAGCCAGAGAGCAAAACACCTCAGCATGAGGAGAATCCCCAAGGGGGGACCCTGGCAGAGGGGACTCCAGCCCCCATGGAGACTGCTGAGACTCCCCATCAGGGAATGGGGAGGATTTTGGAGGTGACAGTGCTTGGGACACCTGGTGCCCCCTTTCCCCTCCAGCCTCAGCTATGGATGCTCCTAAACACCCCATTTCCCCCCTGATCCCTCAGCACTCAGTTGCTCTTTCCGCTGCCAACTCCAGCTTCCAGCAGCAAACCCCTGGGATATGGGAGAGACCTTGGCTTCATTGACAGACTTTGCAGCTTGGAAGAGCTCTGCAAAGCCCCGGGGTGGGCAGGTGGGGGTTTTCAGGGGAGCTCTCGCAATAAAACCCTGTGAGGGTGTAAAAATAAAATTGGGCTAGTCTTCCAACGGGGTTTGTAGCTTTTAAGAATGGATCCCAGCTCCAAGCAGGAACTGGGGAAAGGGAGCAGCAGCTGCAGATGCAGAGCCTGGAGTCGTGCCCATCCATCCACGGGTCCGCGGGGCATCGGGCACCAGCTCGGCGGGGAGGCGCCTGCTGGGAATGTCTGCAGGGGGAGATGTTGCGGAGAAATGAGCTCTTTAAAGGGATGGGAATTGTTGGGATGAAAGGAAATGGGCTGCCAGAGGCTGGGGACACGTCTGGCCCCGGGGAGGAGGCGGTGGCTTGGCTGGCAGTGAGGCCACGCGATGGGATTCAGGGGCTGGGGTTGAGCTCCCGGGGCTGGGAGAGCTCTGTCACCCTGGGGTGTCACCCCACGGTGTGACCCTGTGTCTCCTGGGTGCCAGAGCTCCCTGGGGACACGGCTGGCCTGGGGGAGTTGGGGGCAATGGGTTGTGGGGCATCAGTCCATGGAGAATCAATGGGGTACCAGAGCATGGGGCATCAATGGGACATCAGAGTATGGGGCATCAATGGTATTAATGAGGCATCACACCACAGGGCATCAATGGGGCACCAGGGCACAGGGTATTAACGGGGTGTCAGATCATGAGGCATCAGCAGGACACTAGGGCATGGACAGCAGTGGGGCATCAATGGGGCATCAGTCCATGGGGAATCAATGGGGTACCAGCCTGTTGGGCATCATTGCAGCATCAATGGGCACCAATGAAGAGCAATGGACAGCAAAGAACATCAAAGGGGCATAAAAGGGACATCAAAGGGGCATCAGTGAGGCATCAATGGGGCATCAATGGGCATGAACTGGAATCAAAGGGTATCAAAGGGAATCAAATAGGCATCAAAGAGGCATCAGTGGAGTAAGAAAGGCCATCAGTGGGGTATCAAAGCCCATCA